AACTCCCAAACCCCAAACCCGCAAACAAGCCGTGTGGAGACCCCAAAACCCTAAACTCTAAGGGATTTGGAACCCCAGTAGAAATTATAATTTCAGCTAAATATTAGGATTCTAGGTAACAGAAATTAAAAATTATTTTCAGGAACCTTGTAGAAGCGTTCTGTTGAAACGTTTTCAGCAGCGTGCCAGAACAGAAATCATTCAGGAACAGGCACTTGCAAGTTGGAGTTGTTTGAGACAGGCCAGCTTCTCGCGGTTCACCATGTTGGCCCACTCGTCAATCTTCTTGAAGAACTGCGGTGATGCTTGATTGGCACATTGTTCCGCATCCTCTACCACCACTGCAACAGGCTGTGCGTCAGGGACGGCTTTGGAGGCCTCGCCTGCTTCTCTATCACAGGGCCAGTCATGGCACAACCCGTCGTAGCCATAAAAGTCTACCGCCTCTTCGACGTCTTCGGACGAGACGGCCTCAACTATAGCTGCGTCCTTGCGACCAATTCCAGCGTTGCGCGCGTTGCGAACTTTGTCGCCCTTCCAGCTCTGCAGCTTATTCGCATCTTGCTTGCTCTCCGTATCCTTTTGGTCCACCGCATCTTCTTCCTCCTCCACCTCCTCCTCTGCCTGAGAATCGGCACCCACCTCAGTTAGGGCATTTCGACAACACTGGAAGCGTTGAAGCCTCAGCCTCAGCCTTTGCCGCGCCTCCTCCAGTACCCGGCCACGAAGATTCATATCATCAAGCGCGGCTTGTGCCTTTGGCAAAACTTTCAGGAGCCTGCTTGGCAACTGACCGCCGCCCAGCTTCAACACAAATTTGTGGAGCAGGTCCATCTCCATCGCTCCAGGAATGTAGAGGGATGGAGCGCAAGAAAACCATGAAGCAATGTGGAATGCATATCTCCGAGCTTGCCTCCTGCTGCACATGCGGGCCTTCTTGGCAAACCTCTGCAACACACCACTCTTATCAGCCCTGCTGTGGAACTTCTGGGCAAGCTTTTCCGGCGAGTTCAGGCTGTGACATCTTTTTCGCTTCATGGCTGGCATCAAACGGCGCTGTGAATTGGATGACCTCAAAAGCTGCACTGTGGCTATGTGAGAGGGAATGATATGACTTGTTAGTCGTGCTGCCCACACTTATGATGTTCCATTGTAGAATACGAAATCCTCATCTCTGCAAAACGTTGCACAATGCCGTATACTATTTGCCTTTCCAACATTGAGCCGCGTCGTCGCAAGGATCCGTGGACTGGTTCGCAGAAACTTTGTGATGATTTCGTTCCATGGGGCCTGTGCTTCTGGAACGTTATTGGGGACTATCAAGAATGACCATGTTCGTTGAATATTGGGTTCAGGTATACATGACCATGTAAGGTTTTATGAAACAACAACCCATAGGCTTTCTAGGGCTGAGGATACATTGGCATGACGATTTCGGTTTGGAGGTTGCTTCTGGTTTGCCAGTCCCTACTTTGTATGCTGAAAACAAGTGCATCTGGCGGTTATCAGGATTATGGTTTCTTTTTGGCTCGCTGTTGAAATACAGGCCCTAATATTTAGGTTAGCCGTAAAGAACCACAAAGGAATGACTCGCTTTTGAAAATACAGGCCCTAATATTTAGGCTACCCCTAAACCCCGAACCCTAAACCCTAATCCCCTAAACCCTAAACCCTAAACCCTGAACCATGCTTTGACCACGCGCCCTAAACCGAAAAAAAACGCACGCAGAACCACCAAAGCAGTCCTTTGGCTTGCCTTCCACCAGCTTCCCGGGGTTGTCAGCCTTCCCCTTGGCTTCCTGTATACAGGGTTATATAGGGATTATATAGGGGTTATATGGGGGCCCATGATTAATAAACCCTCTCCTTATAAGGGCCTTAATATTAGGATTCCTATCATAATCCTTCTCAAGGGGGGGTATTAATCACGGGTCTGGGTTACACTGGATGAGCTGCAGTCGAAGCTCCTGAGGCTTATGTAGAGGCTTGTTTCTTTAACCGGGGCAGGGGCTTTTTGCTTGGCATTGCATCAGGCCAATTTTGTTAAGTGGCTGGTTTCATAAATGGCTATTTCAAGCTGCAAGGAGTCTTTCTAACAGCATTCCATAGAATTCAGGCTGCATCAAGCCCACGTTCAACATCAGCACTACATGAGCTATGTAGTCTAAACTCCTTAAAGGGGGTCATATAGGAGATTTTATCATGGAGCATTATAGGGTTTATTGGACCTAAGAGGATTATTAATAGTAATACATTGATAACTAGACTGATGATGAATGACCCTATTAACGCTAATAATAATGATAATGGGGTTTGGGTTTAGGGTTTAGGGTCCTGAGTTCAGGGCTTGGGGGTAAAAGACTCAAGCTTTGCAGTTTGCGTTTTTGGCCTCGGGATAAGGGCTCGTGCCATGTGGAATTTAAGCTTACAGTGCTTCAAAACTGAAGCGTGCCGCCAGGACACGACTGGGGGAAGTTGGTGAGAGCTAAGATATACAGGGATTATACTCCCTTCTTCCCTGCTGAGAGCCAGTAAGTGAACCTCAACTCCAGGCTTGAGACGCCCTTGAATTCAATCCCCATACCACCCCCATGGCACTTAGCCCGTGCGGGGGCCTTGAGGCCAAGACCGGTGATGGCCCTCACCGCCTTGATGACCTCAAGTAGATCTCTGCAGTTTTAAAATTTCGGGTTCAGGATTTAATTTAGAAGGCCATCTCATGGGAGACTGTGTAGGGCTATATGTAAGGCTATAGAAGGACATGTGAATTTCCAGGTGTATATAGGATTGCATGAAAAATGTAAGGTATATGTGGGGATCATTGGCTCATACGGCCGTATAATTGGAGAGCTGATAGGGCTCCGTGCTGTCTAAAGATTAAGGTGGCCGTAGGGTTCTGTGAGGTTGCTAGGTGTATGTAAAGGTATGTAGGGCGTTTTGTTTAGATAAGGTGCAGACCATGCGCAAACCTAAAACCTAAACTTGTAGCGTTTAGTTTAGGGCACACGCCAGCAGATATAGGGAAACTCAAGGGAAGGAAGCGTGTGAAGTGCATGCGTGTCTGCTGAATACTGCTGGCGTTGTCGCGTGAAGCACTCACCTGTACAAAGACGCAAGCAAAACGAACGACGCCAGCATCGCAGTTTGGAGGCAAAGCAAATGTTTGAGAGCACGCGGGCTTCAACGGATACTTGAAACACCTTTTTGAGTACGTCTGCCAAGCGTAGGCCAGCCTCACAGAAAGCCTCCGTGCTGGAGACACGGAAGGCAAAGACTACAGAACTCACTACCGTTACTCGAAAGGAAACTATCTTGGTGTCTCATGGATGGGATGCGCTCTAAAAACTTGAGACACCTAAACCAACCTGTTGTGAACCCGGACTGACCTAGGCCCTAAAACCCCGAACCCTAAGCCTCCAGCACCGGAGATTGGCTGAGGCGGTCGTTCTCACAACTCCACACACATGAGAAGAAAGACCACGCCAAATAGGG